GAGGCCCAAACCGAAAGCGATGCTCAGGAGGAAGGGTGATCCCATGAGGTAGCTCATCTAAACCCTTGAGGCCCCAAGGCTTCGGCGCCGCTAAGCCAACCCCTCCAGACGTGCCAGGCTCAGAACGCCTCGACGGAGCCGCGGGAGTGAGAAGCGAAATGAATCCAGCCTTGGCTAGAGCATGCTGAACATCACCCAGCCGAACCTCAGGCTGGTGGTGCTCCTGAAAAAAATAGATGTCCGACCCCGCAGCATCTATCAGGTCAGAGAACGGCCTGCGCGTCTGCTTGGAGCCCGTGCCGCACTCAACGCCCCAGGAGGTAATGTTAGATGTGCAGAATTTCCACATATCAAGCCTCGGAGACTGTTGCGACTCCCTGACCGTGTTTATCTTAGCCTTGTGCAGCTCGGGCGGGGGCGATGGCGTGGCACGACGAAGAGACGTGCGCCCAGTGGGCGAGGATGTCGAAGGAGAGAACCCCACCGCCCCCGACAAGGTACCTGGAGCCCTCGTGGAACTCGTAGCACCCGTGGGAGCCATCGCCGACGCCGAACTCCCAGAAAACGTGAAACTCTGGCTCGTGCGTGCCCCCAGCCCAGGGGAATGCGCATCCCTGGCCAGCTGGGGAACCGCCTCCACGTAGTCGGTGTCGTCGTAATAATACCTGGGCGGTCTCGTGGGCCCAAGAAGGCGTCCGAACTCGTCCGTGACCTCCTGCTCACTTCGCCAAATTGCTGCCACCGCATCGCGCCATGGCTGAAGGTCATCAGCTTGAGCAAGCTCGTGAAGACGAAGAAGAGTGACCTCGCGCATCGCCCTCGCGCGCCGCCATGCCCCCTGGCAAAGATGACGAGCCACTTCAACAGTCACCTGGCGACTGGCCACTGCGTACTCGAGGCAGTTGAGCATCCAAGTCGACTCGCTGGCCGTCGGGTCAATCAGGTTGCTGACCCACTGTCCAGCCATCCGCGTCAGGCGGTCGCTCAGGCGCTGACGGTCAGCATGGGCGCCAGATCCACGACGTGACGCTGATCCCCGCTCGCGCCCCGCGAGTGAGGAGGCCTCGGGCGCGGCCGGCTTGCCCTGGCAGGCGGGCAGGAGGCTGTGGCGAAGAGGGGCTGCATCCCTCCGCCTCCTGCCCTGCGCCGAAGACCCAGTCGACAGAGGTGCCGAGGTCCCTGCGGCGCGCACTCGCACCTGTCGAGCTCCAGCGATTCCACTCCCCAGGCCATCCCCGCGCGGTAGAGGGGTGCAGGCCCTGCCTACGTGGGGGGGCACTTGGGAAGCAGTCTCAACCTTCTCAGCCCAACAAGGGTCAACGCCAAGCGAAGTCCCAGTAGCCGAGGAAGCTGAAGTAGAGGGCGCCGCCGAACACCACCGCGCTTCCATCGCGCGCATCTCCCAACCGATGAGAAGGTGCGGGCAGAAACCTCCGCAGGTACCTGAAAGCCGAGTGTTGGCCAATCCACGTCAACGACATTGGCTGACCAGAACCGCTGCGATGCCGATCGTGCTACCCAGGCGCCGCCCCAGCAGGTGGCTCCGCTGCTGGAGAAGTAGCGGCGGCCGAGGTTGCAGCGGCAGCCCCGCCCGCAGCAGCAGGGGCACCAACGGCAGCACCAGCAGGGGCCTGGGGTTCGGCCGCGGCAGGCGGCGGCTCGCCTCGCCGCTCCCTCTTGTTGAGCGCCGTGGGGTTGTCGAGGAGCCCGAGCATGGTCTTGAACAGGCCCTCGCACTGCCCAGCGCGGCCTCCCTGCAGCAGCTGCGTGAGCTCCTCCTTGCAAGCATCGGCGGCTCTGGAATCGATCGACATGTCCTCCTCGCCCGCGCCAGCCGCAGCGGAGCCGGCCTGTGCTCCTGCGATCGCTGTCTGAGCCGCTGCCTCGGCCTCGGCCTTGCGGCGCGACTCCGCCTCCTGCTGGAAGAGAGCCCCATCGGCCGCCAGAGATCCGAGAAGGTCCTGGCCCTGCTCAAATTTCGCAGCCTGTGCATTCTTGAACTCAGGGGGCAAATGGCCAAAACAACGTCTCCACGAACCCGTTAATAGCCGAATGGCCCCAGCAAGGCAAGCACGACGATGAAGCTTTTGCAACTCCACCTCTTCAACTTTAGCAGATTCAGCCAGCTGCTTCTGGGACTCCAAGCACTCCTCGAGGTCCTGCGCCAGCTCCTTCTGCTTTGTCGTATAGACGACTCGGTGACCTTGGCGGCCTGCAGCTGGCTCTGGTCGTGGGCCAACTTATCTTGATGCGAACGAGATCGACTCCAAGGTGTGCCACCCTGGTCCTTATCACCTGCAGGGAACGCGAGTGGGATCTGAGCCTTGGCAACCACAAGAAGAGGATGCGTGGGCGCAAGTCCTGCCAGAGTGAGTTGTTCAACAGCCGCTGGCAGATGCTCCTGCTTGGCTGTCCTGCTATTGTCACTCCCTTTTCCCTGTGCGGCGGCCATTGCCCCCCTTTTGCCCGCGCCTGGAGTTCCAGGCTGAGCCGAGGGAGCGGTCGCTCTGGGGACGGTGCCCACATCGGCAGCGCTCGGACCGGTGTTGTGTTTGCCACCCTTGCGGCACCTCTTGTTACCACCGACCATCCGCCACGCGTCCTGGACGAACAGCAATATCGCGAATCCACTCCTTACAGCGAAAACAGCGGCTCCAGTCCACAAGGTTGTACTGGGAACCGCACGAGCTCTTGCCATGACACGTCTTATAACCACTCTGAGACTGGTGGCGCTGTGGGCGAGCGGTGCGATCCTTCGGCGGATGGGGGACCATGCCGCGCGGGCACCCGCGCCGAAAACAACCTCGTCTGGCCAGGCAAACGGGGGGCACTGTGGAGGCCGCTGCTCCCCCTTGCCCCTGAGGCCAGGTCCTGTGCCAAAACGGCAACGGACTTGAACCAAAATGGCTACGGAGGAGAAGGGATGGGAGAGGAGGAGGAAAAGTGAGGGGGGGATTGGAATGGGAGGGAGAGGAGTCGGAGTAGGAATGCGAATAATGATAATGTTGCTCTTACGATCAGTCGTATCAGTCGCAACCACAATCATATTTCTAGAGTTGCGTTTGCCGTAGAAGTCGCGGTCCTGGTCGCAAGAAGGGTACTAGCGGCAATAGTAGCACCAACAATCGGAAAAGCGTGAAGATGGCGTCCACCGATGAACGGACGCGGCCATCAGTCACACTGCCAGATGCTGGATTAAAGAGGGCGTGGTCGTTGAAAGCGCTGGATCCTTGAAAAACAGAAGGTTGATGACATTGCAGATTTTGAGGGACGCGAGGCGCTTTGGATTCGAATAGCGATCGTGCCGTGGCGAGGCCTGAGCAGCGATGGGCGCGCGGCAGCGGCGGTGGCAAAACCAATGCGTGCTGCCGGCCTCCACCGAGTCCGGTTGACGCTTCACGTCGTCCCCTCCGCACGGTTCAGTGGTAACTCATGGGCGCGTCCCGTGCCACCTTGCTGGCTCTTGCAAATCAGCGCTGGCCGACGCTAGTGGAGGCTAGCCGACGCCAATCGACGCGAAATCGACGCCGCTCGACGCTAAATCGACGCTACATCGGCGCTTTCCCATCGATTACCGGACGCTAACGCACTCTAGTGCGCTCCAAGGAGGAAACATCGAAGACGAACAGGGACCCCATGATTTGCTACCGAAGCACGGCCCTCGTCAGACCTGGCGGAGCAGCCCGCGTTTGCTGTCGACCTCCGCCGTGTCCTGCCAGTGCCTCGCATCATCTACCACATGGCGCCCGCGCGGCTCCCCGAAGGCGAAGCGGCGGTCGAGGACGAGCGCGCTCTTGCAACTGCCCGCGAACTCTTGGCTACGTGTGGTTGCTGACCGTCCTGGGGCCCAGGAGGTGGGCGCGAAGGCGGTCCGATTGGCAATCCAACCTGGGGTTTTGATGACTCTGGGCGCAGTGGTACTGAAGCGCCTGGCGCAACCTGGGCATTCGTGCGGTATTGCAGCATGAAGCTCTGCTCGTGCTTGTCGTCAGGCTTGAGCTTGTGGTCATATGCCTGATAGAGCACGTCCTAGCCCTCTGCAGCCTTTCCCTTGTACACAGGCTCGCTGCCCTTTCTTCTTGGGTGCCTCGGTCTTTGACCTTGGATTGAGTCGTAGCGGATGCGCTCGTGTGCTTGGTTGAGGTCGAGCGCATGGTAGCGCACACATTACCCTCCGTCTTCGAATCTCTGTCTATACTTCGGCTGCGGACGGGACTAACATCCAAATCACGGGGGCCTCTCCCCCAAGGCCAGGCACAACACAACTGCTACCGCCTACAACGGAGAATCCGCTTTGGGGGCCGGGGCCAACGTCGGACGCATGTGCGCGGCGCTGAGGCGACAGCCGCATTATGAAAATAATCCCTCTCTATCCTTGTTGCTGTTGCAATGTTTCAAACAAGTGCGCGCCTTCTTGCGACAACCACATTTTGAACGGACCCCCCCCTCATCCGCGAAGCGGTTGCACGCTTTCACAATGAATGCGCACTGCCCTGTTGACAGCCCCCCGCCCCCTCCGTCCGTGCAACTGTTGCAAGTTCCATGCCTCAGGATCATAAGGGCAGACGAATTCTCAAGCGAAACGCCCCGCACGTCCTACCGATCCGTCTTGGAACGCGACAGGGAGAAGCTACGCATCTAGAATGAACAGGGATGGGCCCGGAGGGTGGGGGAAGGGGGAGGATGAGGAGAGGGATGAGGAAGAGAGTAGAGGGGGAGGGGGAGGAGGAGGAGGAGGAGGAGGAGGAGGAGGAGGAGGAGGAGCGGGGAGGAGGAGGGATGCGGAAGGAACGGCGAGGAGGGAAGAGGGAGGAGGAACAGGAGGAGGGAGGAGGAGGAGGAAGGAGGGATGAGGAGGAAGGAGGGAGGAGGAACGAGGGAGGAGGAGGGAGGAGGAAGGAGGAGCAGGGAGGGAGAAGAAGGAAGGAGGGAGGAGGAAAATCCTGGCACGGCGGGGGTCCACCGAGGGTGCGCCCCTCTCCACCTCAGGGGCGCGAGGCCTGGAACTGCAGCACGCTGGTACCCGAGAGCAGGCCGCCGCCCGCCTCGCTCCGGGCCGCCAGGTCCTGGCCGGCTGGGGCCGCACCGCGCGGGCTCCCCGCTGTCCAGACCGTGCCTCGTCGCGTCGTGAACCGAAACTTCCAACAAATGTTGCTGGGTCCTGATTCCTGCGTAATTATTATTGGTTCCCCTCCCCAGTGCCAGGTGTGCTTTTTGAAATAGGAAGCGCCTCCCAGGGCTCGCACCCTGTTGCTCACAAGGGAACCTCTTGAGGCCCACACTGCCTTGTTGGCCCCCAACTTGCAACAACAACAACTCCTGCCTGATACTTCCTTACAATTGATTCCGCAATCGCGCTCTCGCGCGCAATTTTCTTTACACTTGCACAAGAATCGCGCTCTCCCGTGGGACTTCCTCGGCACTCAGGAATCCGGTTCCCGCTTCGGCTTTCCCTACGATTTACTTGGGACTCGGGCTGTCCCTCGAAATTTCGTCGAGACCCGTGCAAGTTTCACGTTTCAGCAACCCGCCTGCTCGACCTGGCCGCGTGGGCCCGCCTTCCCGGCCCGCCCGTTACGGTCTGCCCGCCCGATTTGCCCGTCTGGTTCTGCCTTGTGCTGTCTGCTCCTAGCCCCTTCCTGCTAATCCCCTGCTCCATCCTTCTCCCTCCCTCTTCCGCCCGTCCTCTCGTCACTTGTTTGAATGGTTGCAACAATTACACGCGGCAGGTATAAGGAAGATATACCCCCAAAGTGGTACGATCGAAGACGAGCAAGGCGGGTATCGAGGGTTCGGGATATACGTGTTGAGTGGTACGCAAGCAGATACACGCGAACTGTCCAATAATGGTTAATATTGAACCCTCATTACTGAAGAAATGATAATTTTGATCCCCCCTCCGGGGCACATGTTTTTTTCACTTGAAGTGCCCTTTCCGGGGTTCGCACCCTGATCTATTAAGGAAAATCTCAAGATTCTGTTTTTGGCCCCCGGTTTGCAACAACAGCGGCTCCCGAGTCGAGATCTTACGCGGGACGTCCTCGCAAGTTATACAAGAATCGCGCTCTCGCGTGGGACTTCCTCACTTTTTTGTCAGACGACTCGCCCTCGACACTCAGGAATCACGCTATCACTGTTAATTTCCTCATGATTTACTTGGGAATCGCACTATCGCTCGAGACTTCTTCGCGACCCATGCAATAATCACGCTCGTTAGCCGCCTGCTCGACCTGGCCGCTTGGGCCAGCCTTCCCGACCCGCCCGTTAAGGTTGACCCGGCCGTCTGGTTCTGCCACGCGTTCACTGCTCCTGCCCCCCTCCTGAATCCCGTGCTCCATCCTCCTACGGTGGAGGTTTTAGAAAAGGATGCCTTCGATAAGGAACCCAGGGTCCCGCGACCGATGAGCGGCCAATCGTGGGCCACCCACCTCGCCTTGAAACAATGAGGAATGCGCCAGGGTCTGGGCCCCAGGAAGACGTTCCTTATCTAATGCCGCCGCCGTACCCCCCTTTGCCCCTTCCTTCTATCCGTCCCTTGTTCTCCTGCCATAAGGGTTGCACGAAGTACGCGCGAAAGTGAGGAAACCCAAAGGGCACGATCGAAGACGAAGAGGGCGGGCATCGAGGCTTTGGAATATACGTGTTGGATGGCCCGCGAGCACTTAAGAGCGAACAGTCGTATCAGTCTTGTTGGTGCTGTAGTTGAAATCTCCAAGTCTAAAGAAGAAAAATTGTTGACCTCCCTCCGGCAATTGCAGTGCCCCTTCTGGGCTTCGGATCTTTCGATATATATATATACATATATATATATATACAAGGGACAATGTGGGGTTACCAAGTTGGACCCTTGGACCCGGATACTTCCCCACGCTGTATTGAAAAATCGCGCTCGCGCGCGGGACTTCCTCACAATTCATGCAGGAATCGCGGTCTCGCGTGGGACGTCCTCACAGTTTACTCAAACGCCGTGCCCTCGACACTCAGGAATCACGGTCTCGCCGTGGATATCTCACGATTTATTTGGGAAACGAGCTGTCGCCCGAGATCTCCTCGCGATTCAGGCAGGACGCACGCTTCAGCAACCCGCCTGCTCGACCTGACCGCCTGAGCCCGCCTTCCTGACCCGCGCATCAGGGTCTACCCGCCCGATCTTCCCGCCTGGTTCTGCCTTGTGCTGTCTGCTCGTAGCCCCCAGCGTGCTACTCTCTCCCTCTCTCTTGTGTTCCATCCTCATCCCTCCCCCTTGTCCCTCCCCCTTCCATCCATCCGCTCTTCCCTTGCCTCATGGACTGAAAGAAATACACGATGCAGGTGAGAAAGATACACCCCGCTGAGGTGGCACGAGCGAAGACGAAGAGGGCGGGTATCGAGAGTTCGGGATATACGTGTTGAGTGGCCGTGAGCAGATAAGAGCGGACAATCGGAAACATATTGTTGTTATTGTTGTTACCGAACTCTCACTTCTGAAGAATAACTATTGTTGAACCCCCTCTCCGGTAACCATTGAGCTTTTCCTATTGAAGTGCCCTTCCCCGGGCCCGCACCTTGCTTCTACCAAAGAGAATATTGAACCTCAAACTGGGAGGCGGGCCCCCGAGTTACAACAACAACGGCTTCCGTCTGATATTTCCTCACAACCTATTGGGAATCCAGCTGCTGCCTGAGACCTCCTTGCGATATACCCAGGAGCCGCGCTCTCGCTTGAAACTTCCTCGCAATGTATTCAGATGCCGCTCCTCGACACGGGCAACGGGACCCTCAGACTTTCTCACAATGTATCGGGAAGTCTCGCTCTCGCGTGGGACGTAGTCGCAACTTATTCAGACGCCGCGCCCTGGACATTCAGGAGTCGCGCTCTCGCTGTGGATATCGCGCGATCTATTTGGGAACCGCGCTGTCACTCGAGACTTCCTCGCGATTCGTGCAGGACGCGCGCTTCAGCAACCCGCCTGCTCGACCTGGCCGCCTGGGCCCTCCTGCCCGACCCGCCTTGTAGGGTTTACCCGCCCGATCTTCCCGTCCGGTTCTGCCACGTGCTTTCAACTCCTAGCCCCCCTCCTGCTACTCTCTGTCTCTCTCGTGCTCCATCTGTTTCCCTCCCCCTGCCATCCGCTCTCTCTCCCCTTGTTTGAGGGGCTGCGCTAACTACACGCGGCAAGTAAGAAAGATACACCCCCAAGGGGGGATACGATCAAAAACCAATAGGGCGGGTACCGAGGGTTTGGGATATACGTGCTGAGTGGTATGCGAGCAGGTAAGAGCGACCGGTCTTAACTTATTGTTGTTGTTCCCCACATGTTTCGTGGGGTAATGGTTTTCTTCCCACCCGCGTCGCACCCGCGTCTCACACCCGCCCTCCTCGCCTCCTCCTCCTCCTCGTCCTCGTCCCCCTCCACGACGCCCACAACGAACACACAGCAGACATCACACACACGTCATACACATCATACACGCACACTAGACTACACAACACTACATATACCACACCACACACCATGCACACATCACACGTCAGACACGCATCACACAACACGACGCCACAAACACCACACCACACACATCAGACAACACACGCACACACCACACACAGAAACGCACACCAAACACAACAAACATAAGACACACACCACACACAACACACACACACACATCAGACACACACCAATCCTCGCCGGTCGTGGCAGGCGTGCCACTGTCTCCACACCACAGGGGGTGCGCAGTGGGTGGTCGCCCACCGTTGTCTCTATCCGTCCCAAGGTCGCGTGGCGCGGCAGGCGTGGCATTTTCTCCACACCGCGTGGGTTGCGCAGGGGGTGGTCCCTGAGCGTGGTCTCCATCCGTCCCAGGGTCGCGTGGCGTGGCAAGCGTGGCATTTTCTCAATACCACAAAGGGGCGCGCAGGGGGTGGTCCCTCACCGCGGTCTCTACCGTCCCAGGGTCGCGGGGCATGGCAGGCGCGGCACTTTCTCCACGCCACAGGGGGTGCGCAAGGGGTCATCGTCGCCAGTAGTATCGTTACTCGCATCATTTTGTGTGCCGTTGTCGACGTCGCCTTGGTGCCGCGCCTGCCCGAGTCACCGACTCGCACTGAAGTGTGCCCGCGCGTCAGCGCGGCCTGCGAAACGCGCTTGGATTTGCCCGACGGTCAGCGCCACCGCGGCCGCGTTGGTCGCGCCAGACTAGCTGGCCGCTCTGCGCGAGAGCCTGCGTGCACTAGCGCGGGAGCAACGATGCGCCAGCCTGCAACAAGCAGTCATCGCAATTGCCGCCGCAAGGTTTTTGCAAATCAAATTGCGGGCGGGTGGGTAGGATGGTTGCGTGAGCAATGGAGATGACAACTCACTGCAGAGATCAACTGCTCGCGCCACATACATTGCACCACATCTATTGCACAGCACATGTCGCACCACATGTGTTGCAGACTGTCGACTGCACCACATAAATTGCACGACATAGGTCGCACCACACCTATTGTACCACCTATAATGCTCCACGCGGGAGGTACAACTTATTCTGCTCCACGTGGATTACACGACATAGTTTGCACCACGTAAGCTGCGGAACACACATTACACCACATAGACTGCACAACATAGCTTGCACAACCTAGATTGCAAGACGTTGGTTGCATCACATAACTTCCCCCACGTATATTGCATATTGCACTACGTAGCTTGCTAGAAACACTCTTTGGGGTCCGCGATGGCTACTACCAAGGAAAATCTTGGCTCCCCTAACTTCGGTGCTGGCCCCTCCCAGACTACTACGACAACGGCTCCCGCCTGATACTCCCGTGCAATGTATTAAAGAAGCGCGCTCTCGCTCCAACTTCTTTTCGACTTACCTGAGAGTCGCGCTCTCGCGTGGGACTTCCATGCAATTTATTCAGACACCGCGTTTCATCACACAGGAATCACGCTCTCGTTCTGGACTCCCCTACGATTGACCTGGGAACTGCACTATCGCTGACGGTCTCCTGACGATTCATGCAGGACTGACGCTACAGAGACCTGCCCGCTTGACCTGGCCGTCTGGGCCCACCCACCCGACCCTTTCTTTAGAGTCC